ACTTTCTTCTTTGATGTTGATGAGTCCGGTTTCACCATAAATTGTAGAAACAAATAAAAAATTCTAATGATTTTTGTTGATGAGAATCCTGTTTCACAGCGCCAGTTTTGAATTCTTAATTTGTTAAATTAAAACAGTTAAACTTTTTAATTAATTTATTTTTAACAATGTATTCACAACAACAATTAAAAGAGAAGTGCCGGTATAATGTTTAGTTCCGTGCGAGGTAAGCTTGGTTGCCTAGTCAGCAGACGTAACTCGAGTAGGTAGATTTATCATAAAATAATAAGTGAACTTTATTTTAATTCTCTAAAATAGTTTTTTTTAGTCCATTAATCCGTTAACGAGTTATATAATTTCAAAATAAAAAAATAATCAGTGTAATATACAGCAGTACCTATATATTTTTACATACTTTAAAGGCCGCTGGCAGTTAAACAAAGACATTTTTGTTTAGGTAAGTTGGGTTAAGTCGAATTATTTTAAACCAAGAATTATGTGGCCTTCCACAATGATTGTACACGTCTACTCGAGACACCTTGTATAAATGCTAATAGTATATTACACTACAAGGGCAGAAAGTGTGAGATTCCTGCACTGCGCGCCATGATGCCCGAGGCGAATCCGAGGGCATCATGGCGCGCAGTTCAGGGCTCTCACACTTTCTGCACGTGTAGTTTATACTATTTTTCTTGCTACCCGGCTGAAAATACGGGAAAAAATTAAATTTATTTTATAATAATTTAAGGTTATTTAAGTACTTATTGTACCAATGCATCAAACGTAAACTTTCTGCCGTGGAATCGGAGACGAAACAACGTATTTTCGGCCGAGGTAGTAAGAAAAATTTATTTTATAATAATTTAAGGTTATTTAAGTACTTATTGTACCAATGCATCAAACGTAAATTTTCTGCCGTGGAATCGGGGACGAAACAACGTATTTTCGACCGAGGTAGTAAGGGGCCGTTCATTAATTACTTGAGACAATTTTGGCGATTTTTCGACCCCCCCCCCCTTGGTGAGATGTCGTGAGATTTTGCTCGACCCCCTCTCCCCCCCCCTTAATCTCACGTGAGATTTTTGAAAATGCATGGTTTTAAGGTAGTTGTCGTGGTACAATATTATCAAAAATTTTTAGATTATACGCACCGTAAAAGTATACGAGCTTGTAGCTAAGTGATTTTTTCGCAAGACTGTACCTTGGAGACGTTACCTTTACGTAATACTTTCAAATATTTTCATAAGTTTTAATCCGGCAACGTCGCTTATGCTCAACCATATTGGAGATTGAATCAGTTTGAATTTACTGCGGAAATAAATTATTTCAAATAATATCTATACTCGCGTACAGCGTTGCCAAGTTGTTTTTATCTGACACTAGTGATGTATACTTTTTACAAATTGTTGAACTTTAAACGGTTATTTATAAACAATTGGACGGTCAAAAATTATTAATTATTTTTTTTTAAACTCAGCACAAATACATTAAAAGACTGTTCGTTTTTTGAAAGCTTCTGACAGTTAGTTATTTTTTTATAACTAAGAAACTGGTACAGAACTACAGAAAGCGTATACAATCCATGTTAATTATCCAATTTTTAATTGAATTTATCTAGGGTTAGAGACGGTCAATCGACTTTAAATTTTAAGGATAATTGTATTGTCATGTCCTTAATAAGTATACAAAAATTTAAAATTTTCTGATGGTATGCTTACAGCACGACAACTATATGGGGCGCCGTTTTATTTTTTATTCAGTAATTATTTTTATGTGTTAACAATAAATTCATATTTTTAATTAGATACAAAATATTATACAAGAATTTTTATTCTGCGAATTAATAATATCATAGCAGATATTTTAAAATTAGATTTAATTTTTATGCCAAACTGATATTTTTAATTTAGCGAATTTAAATTATCTGTTTCTTATATTTGTATTTTATTGCTCAACACATATTTTTAATTCGCTAAATTAAAAATTAGATTTAATTTTTATGCCAAACTGATATTTTTAATTTAGTTAATTTAAAATATTTGCTTCTTATATTTGTATTTTTTTGGTAAACACATATTTTTAATTCGCTTAATTAAAAATATCATAGGAGAAATTTTTAAATGTATTAAAAATATCATAGGAGATATTTTTAATTCGATTTAAATTTTATTTTATTAAATAAGCTGATATTTTTAATTCAATGTGATATTTTTAATTCCGACTGATTGAGAGTTTGGATACCCCTGCTTGATTCGAATGGAAACCTTAAATAGTTCAAATGAACTATATGTTTTAGTTCATTCAATACATTCATTTGATACAAAAAAAGCGGGAATATTTTTTTGTTGCGATAAAATTAAGCTTTTGTGTGGGGTTTATTATTATTATTAAAACAATAAAAAAATAATTATACCTATTATAGGTAAGTATATTTAAAGAGGCTTTAAAAATAGGGAGATGTTTTATTACAATAGAGTATAAGTTTATTTTTTATTTTCACTTATATTTTGTAGTACTTTTAGTTTAAGCTTGGTTTGAATTTTCTAATCCATGGACGAGCCTTTGGATTATCGAGTGACGGTAGTACTCCATCAAATAAGGAGAGTTATAGGAAATGCTTGCCGTAACTATGAGCTTGAGAATAAAATCAATCCCAATATTTGCTTGGAACTGAATTCTTGCTTACAAAATTTAGTAAGAATAAGAGGAAATATTTCCGACGGTACCTTTAATGATTTGTCAAATTCTATTAATGGCTTGCTTACACTAAATAGAAGTGATCGTAATATTACTGAGGTTCCCTATTCGGCAGGCCGTGTGAATTTAGGTAGGAATAAAGTATGCTTTTGTATATATTTTATGTAAGGCAATGGTCTTTATTTTAAGGGCAAGGGCGTCCTGTTGTTCAAATAACACGTAGTCAATTGGAACTCTTCTTAAATGAAAATTATACAGTGAAGCAAATGGCTGGACATTTTAAATGTTCTAAAAGTACAATAAATAAAAGATTACTACAGGAAAATCTTAAAATAAGAAGCAAATACAACAATTTAAATGACACTGAACTGAAAGAAATCATGCAGCAAATTTGTTACGACCATCCACACTGTGGGGCAGAGGTTTGCATAGTTCTTTTTTCTGTTTATGTTACAAAAAAACCTGTTCTAGATGATGTGGGGCTATTTAAGAGGAAAGGGGCTAACAATCCAGAGAAAAAGAGTGCGATCTATACTAAGAGAAATTGATCCAGTTGGAACTGCCACAAGGTGGTGTAACTCTATCACCAGAAGGACTTACTGTGTAGCAACTCCAAATGCCCTATGGCACATTGATGCACATTTGAAATTAGTCAGGTATGCTATGCTAAAGTCAGTAAATATTAGGCATTTTTTTCCTAAGGGGCAAACTGTTTTGTCATTTATGATTTTCCACCAAAAATGCTTTTGCTTTGCTTTATTTTTAGCTTCAGGGCTCAAGCTATGAAGGTATGGTAATAGTCGTTTTCAAGAATTTTGTATGTATTTGGGGTAGGGTTGCCAGATTTTGTCAAAAAAAGCAGAACATTTTGTTTGAATTTACCTTAATTACAAAAGTAGCACAATTAACAATGATTAAATTACATCAAATTGACAATTTGCATTATATCATTGTGTCATTTTTGTAATTAAGTAATCTGGCAACCCTCATGTAAAAAATAATAATCCATTGTCACGAGATTTATGGACGGCCTTAAAAAGCCGGATACAAAGGTAAAAAGCCGGACACCTATAGGTGCTATAGCAACCATATCCCCGACCTCGCATCATAACAATAACTTGTTTTATTTAATTTTATTTTGGTCAATTGGGATTCTGTTTTAAAATTAATTAATAATTTAACCCCGCAAGGTACCTTTAACTTACTTACTTAACACATACTTAATTAATAAAAAAATTAGAAGTTAAAGCTCATTCACAACTATAGTATACTTATACAAAGCATAACTTGATTTTCTTTTTAGATGGGGATTTATAATACATGGCTGCATCGATGGGTACAGCCGATTAATAATATATTTATCTTGCAAAATATCAATCCAGGCGCAGCCTGTTTTAGAACTTTTTTTGGAAGCAGTGAAAAATCACGGTTTACCCTCTCGGGTCAGGTCGGATCACGGATACGAAAACTCATTTGTAGCGCTTTTTATGAACCTTATTAGAGGGCTAGGACGGGGTAGTCATATCACTGGTAGATCTGTACATAACCAGCGGATAGAACGACTTTGGCTGGATGTGTATAAGGAAGTAGTTAGTAAAGTATATAAAGAACTCTACGATTTAGAAGATTCTAAGCTACTTGATATAGATAATAATCAGCACCGTTACTTAATTCAGTTGATTTACCTTGATCATATTAATGATTTACTCAAGTTTTTTATAAGTGGATGGAACTTCCACAAATTAAGCTCAGAAAAAAGACGTTCACCGCGACAAATATGGATCGATGGAATTTTGGATAATATTAACAGTGAAAACACAGCAATTTTAGAAATATTTCAGAATAAAGAAACCATCCTTCAGCGAACACAAGAGGCCTTTCAAAATATTAACATTGACGTGAATCAACTAGAAACAAATATACCTTTGGAATCTTCACTTCATAAGGAGCCAAATCCGTTTACTGAAGAAAAATATGAAGAAGTGCAAAATGTTATTGAAAGTAATGTAAGTTGCAAGGAAAAGTTTATTTCATGTTTAAATATTTTAACATAAATTAACATTGTAACAAAACATAAAATAAAAATTAAAAAATACCCAACATTTTTATTTAAACCAAATAAAAAGTTCTTTAACATGCCAAAAAAACAAACTTCTGGTATTTTCTTTTGTAAACAATTGAAAACTAGTAAATACCCTGTTTAAAATTTTGAATATTTAGTACTGTTCGTAAATATAAGCTTTAGGTCTTAACAGTAAATCATGTACCAAAAGAGATACCAGAAAGTGACATCAATATCAGATTTAGTAAGTGTCATACTTGAAAGCAGCATCTGAATTTAAAAATGCGTTTATTTCATCACTGAATTCCTTCTGGCTGTCGTAGGCAACGCTTAATTTTATTAAATTTGCACAGGTTGATATGATTGGTCTTCGTGCAAGGCCCATTTCATTATGAAAGTCAACAGCAATTTGCTCAGGCATTTGCGCTGTAGCTGTTACAAATAATAAAAATCTTTCCAGTTCTTCCGTGTTAAGACCCAAAACATACATCTGTAAGAAGTAAAATATTTTTTCCTGTTCATTAGTAGGATAGGAGACTTGGAGTTTTAAGCAATTTGCAACTTTTTCAGCTGTTGGTTGTAAAGATTTCCACAAATTTAATGCGAAGTTTAGAGGAAGATTAGTAAAATATAAAATTATATCTTTTGGTACACCTTCCTTCATTTTTTTAAACAAATCTGCTGTATTTTTAATTAATGTATTTTCCGCCAGTAGCAGAAGATGCTGTTTTATATCTTTCTCGTTGGGCAATACATTACTAAGCCCATAAGTCATATAAAGACTAGTTAATCTATTTACCTCCATCTCAGATAATTTATTAAAATTGTTAAGTCCTTTTTGCATTAATCTTCGTTCAGGCAAAGTTGTAAATAAAAAAAAATCATGTAGTAACATTTCTTCGTTTAAGGTATAATCATCTCCTTTGTCAGATAAAGCTGTTAAAGTATAAAGGGCTAGCCTTGAAGGCATTTTACCCGTTAGTAAGATCATATGACCTAAAATTCTTCCAAGTATAACAAATTTTGGTTTTACTTCTCTAATTTTAGAAAGTTTTACAAAAGGTACCACTATATTGGTACCAATAAAAAAGTCATCACTTTTAAATATTTCCCTCCAAAAGATTGAAAAAAGCTCGTTCAATAAACCTCCACCATCTACACCATCTTCTCCAATAAATTTGACTAAAAACCGATTGTCTACCGTTGATGGTTTTTGACTATATAAATCAAACATGTATGGCACTATATTATCTCTGGAAACATCAATAAGCACCAATTCGCTATCTTCTGATATTCTTGGGAAATTCAAGAATGGGTGCAATTCATTGGAGACGGTAAATGAAGTATCAACAACGTCTAAAATGTAATATAAAATAATAGATATAAGAATAATAACACTAAATTACCTCCTCCGTCTTCTATATCACTAAAATAAGCAAAGTCATCATTATAAGCTTCATCTTTGCGTGCAGGTTCCTGTTGGTTTGTTACAACCGAGTTATTCAATGATAACTGATTTGTAAATACCCTTCTGTTAAAGGATCTTCTTTGTGGTGGAGGGCCTAGAAAATTTGTAATAATATATTTTTTTATTTGTAGCATTGCAGTCAGAGTAAAGTTTCATTAGGAATGCAATAAATAATTATTCATTTCGTCCACACAATTGAAAGTTCTTACACTGCAAAATGCATTGCAAAAAAGAGAAGTGGAGTTATTAACTAAAGTTTTTGCTATATACAAAATCTGGATACATGTTTTAATGTTTGAATTAATCAACATGCAGAGCTTGTACAATTTCACGTTATGGAAAAATTTAAGAAAAAATTGACTATTAACTATCCAGTTCTGCACTTATTTTTATGACAAGATGCACTTGTACCCTTTTGCTTCGCACCCCTTTAATAACAAGTAGGTATTTTAAAACGGCAAATTAGTAAATAAATATAATGCATATGAAATTGGTATACTTTAGTATTAAATAGCCCGTGAAGTTAAAAAAAAATCTGCAATAAAATAGCATTTTACAAACTCATCGGTCATTGTGTATAATTATTCAAATTCAATTAAATATAAATTTTAATTAATGTAGGGTATTAAATAAAATTAAATTTTCCCAACGCGGTGGCAAGTTGTTAATAAAAATACTGTCTTTTAACTTCATATTCGTTAAAAGAGCTTTTCTGCACTTGTCAAGGAATGTACTATCATAGTACTACTATGGTAGGTAACTAATGTATATCATAATAATTCAGTTAAAAAAAGTAGTACATTTTGTTTGACTTTACCCTACCCTGCTTAAAATACCCCATAGAGACCTATACAAAATAATCTATCGGGCGCTACCGGATTCAATATGTGCATTTGTCCATGGTTTTTTCCGGATACGGCCCGATAGAAAATTTATAGGAAATTACGTATAGGCACACCATAACTTTTACATTTTCCCTATAGAGTCCGATAGCAAATAACTCAATGAAGAATATATAGGGATATCCCTATAGAACAACCATAAAACATTTGACAAAATTTTATTAAAACCTATGGGGTCCTATGGGGGAAAAACTAATTTCTACATTTATGTGTATTTTCCCCATTGAAACCAATAGCAAATAAATCAAGGGTGGATATCCCTATAGAACAACCATAAATCCCAACTATGGGTCCTATACATACCGATACACCCTATAGAAACACCATACATTCCGATACAAATATCTATCGGTTTGAACAGGGTCTCTATGGGGTATTTTAAGCAGGGTAAGTTGAAATTGCTAGTGTGTATTTGGAGCGTGTTAATAGTATATTATGTATCAAGTTTTATTAACGCCATTTTAGTTCTGAGTTTTATTAGGCACGAGCAAAGCTTGCTAGCGAGTGTTTAATAAAAACGAGTGTCTAGAGAAGTTTATAAAACGAGTTGCATACTATACTTTATCTACGACGAACAGAAATAAGAATTTAAAGCCAATTTTATTTGTTAAACATTTGACATCTGTCAACTGTCAACGGATTTAACCTCACTTGTTCCCAATTTATAATAAAGCTAATTTCAGCCCGTGACTAAAACGCCATAAAGTCGCAGCTTATCAATGGGGGAGTAGATAAAATAAATTTATTTCTTTTATTTAAAATTAGTTAAATATCCGGATCATTTTATTCCGTCAATTAGAACCGTAACAAACGTTTTTAATTAATTTATTTACATTTATCTTAAAAAGTTTGATTTTTAGGTTTTTTTAAGTTTATAGTTGGACGTAACGTAAACGCACTGCAAAAAGATCAAATATAGAATTTATGTACTTCTATTTATAAATGTAAGTAAACGCAGACTTTGGCAAATAGAAAGAATAGTACAAAGAACACATCTTGTAAGACGTTTCCTCGCCTCGTCCTCGTCCATTACAATTATCCTCGTGGGAAAAAAAATCCGTCGATTTATAAATTCCGTTTTTACGTATCCAGTGCGTCTATGTTACGTCTACGTCTAACTATAAATCCTATAGTTAACAGAATTGATTTATTTATTTTATTTTAGTTTTTAAAAAGAATTTTTTATGCTTAAACGTTTTTTATAAGAAAACACTTTTAGTTAAAGGCAAAACAAATAATGATTTTACACCTTTAATTAATAATTTAGTTTTAAAAGTGATTACGTTACATTTTACGTATCTATATCCCCCTGCAAGTATTAAAAAACGTTTAGGGGATGGGACTAATAGTTTAAATTATTTATTGTCATAAATTTTACTAAAAAACTTAAAAAATTACTATTTATAAATATTGTAAAATTGTTAATTTGGTTATATTTCATGGCAAACCACGACGATTAAATACCCCCACCCTTAATGCCTACATAATTTATGTACCCTAGATGGCTTTGATGACTATGGCATAGTCCATAAATGATGTGACGCAAATTTTGAAAAACTGCCCCCCCAGCCAATTCACCGTTTTATATAATGATTTTTTTCTTTAAATTTTGTATGCACAATTTTTAAGCCTTTTTTACCAAATTTGTGTCACGTTTTTTTAAAAAACTGTCCTAAATTAGTCAACCATCATTTAAGAACAACACTTAAGTAAAGTAAAATTTGCCTTTTTTAGAAAAAATAAAGTAGGATTATTGGACTTTAACAATCTGGCAACCCTGTATTACTAGTTGCATACATTGAATAATACAAAGGGGTTAGAGAAAAGTATGTAAATTAAGATTTAAAAATCCAATTATTTCAATAAAAGTTAATATGCACCTTGGCACTGAAAGTGCATTGTTTTAATCTGTTGTCTGGTTATCTCCTGGCTTGTGGTTAAAACAGACACTGCCTTAAAACATAAATAACTAATTTGAGACATAGTTATGCCTCATTTAAATTTAAAAAAATTTTATTCTAATATTAGCATACATTTTTTTTTTAAATTGACACTGTCTTCATTTAAGATACTACTACAAAATGCTTTTAATAGTAGAAATAAACGAGGAGTAAATTGATGTCAGTGAATCACTAGCATAATATGAACTTTTTCTCCTATTATCTGATGCTATGAAATTGGATATACATACATATATGTTATAATAATCATATTATGTATATTTAAAAACAGCACAAATTAGATTTTAAGCTTTTTGCACTAGATTTTATATTTTTTGCACAATTTTTTAATTAACGTACCTTGCTCATCTGAATAAGAATTAGCATCCTCCAAAATCTGGAGATGAGGTTCTTCAACAAGAGGTAAGTTATAAGGAAAGTCTCGTTTTGGTATTACAATTAACATTCCACTGCCCAAAGTAACTTCAAGATCTTCCGGATCTGTGTTTAACATATCAATTTTTGTTAGCATTTTGTGTTTTCCACATCTAGCAATGCTAAAATCCACCATTTCTAACATATCGCGTAAATTAGGCAACATCAGGTCCAAAATTTCCATTTTTATTTTCTCAAATGACCAGGTTCTATTGATAGTTAACGGCTTTGATAATAAACCTTAAAAATAAAGAAATGAATGAGTAAAATACATAATTTTCCAAAAATAATAATTATGGAATTATAAAATGTTTGCCTTACCAAGTCCACGTTTATTTAAGTATTTTTGCTCATATGGGGGAGGCAAAAATGTAACATTAGCCAATTTAACAACAAACACTTTTTTTTGATATGTTGCTTTTCGTTTACGTCCTCTTTTGTTTGTTGATTGAGCCTGTAACCTACGTTGTTGTAGCTGAGGTCTAAATGAAGCTCTAGTACTAGCCAATATATGACTAAAGGACCCTTCTTCAACAGTGGGTGAAGAACTGACTGTAATTGCCGCCTGAATGATTCGTCCAGCAACATCTTGCTGGTTTTCTGTTTGATCCATAACTTAACTATGGTTAACTAATTGCACTAAAACAATAATTAATTATTAATATTAATTGTTAAATACAATTTTAAATAATCAAAATGCATAAATCTATGCTTGTGAGCATAGAACAAAACAAACTCTATATCAAAGTAGTCTATGGAGAGTCTTTGGGTAATCCCTTTCTTATAACAAACAATAATTTTCTTCCAATTTTTTAATACTTACCTACTTAAATAAAAAGAATACACTCTAATTCACACACAAATCTATTTCTGTGATTCCCGCTTTAATGGGTGTATAAGGTTATAATGAACTACGACAAATAGTTCATTTGAACTATTTAGCGACCAGGGGTATCCAAACTTTTAATCAGTCGGAATTAAAAATATCAGCTTATTTTATAAAATAAAATTTAAATCGAATTAAAAATATCTCCTATGATATTTTTAATACATTTAAAAATTTCTCCTATGATATTTTTAATTAAGCGAATTAAAAATATGTGTTTAGCAAAAAAATACAAATAAAGAAGAAAATATTTTAAATTCAATAAATTAAAAATATCAGTTTAGCATAAAAATTAAATCTAATTTTTAATTAAGCAAATTAAAAATATGTGTTTGACAAAAAATACAAATATAAAAAACAGATATATTAAATTCACTAAATTAAAAATATCAGTTTGGCATAAAAATTAAATCTAACTTTTAAATATCTGCTATGATAATTTTAATTCGCAGATTAAACATGTTCATGTGATATTTTTTATTTATACATATATTTTAAAAACTAGATCTAATTTTTATGCCAAACTGATATTTTTAATATATTTAATTTAAAATATTTACTTCTTTTAATCGTTTATTTTTGTTAAAAACATATTTTTAACTCGTTTAATTAAAAATTAGATTTAATTTGTACGCCAAACAGATATTTTTAATACGGTAAATTTAAAATATATGTTTCTTATATTTGTATTTTTAGTTAAACACATATTTTTAATTCTCTTAATTCAAAATTAGATTTAATTTTTATGCCAAACTGATATTTTTAATTTATTGAATTTAAAATATTTTCTTCTTATATTTGTATTTTTTTGGTAAACACATATTTTTAATTCGCTTAATTAAAAATATCATAGGAGAAATTTTTAAATGTATTAAAAATATCATAGGAGATATTTTTAATTCGATTTAAATTTTATTTTATTAAATAAGGAGATATTTTTAATTCAATGTGATATTTTTAATTCCGACTGAAAGTTTGGACATCCCTGGCATTACAAAATAATTTTATCGCTAGATGGCGACACAATCATTGAGATCCACGACATACGTGAGTCCGATGTCGCACTGGCCCAGCGTGTGCAGAACAAGGACAGTGCGCGTTAGTTTGTTGTTGGAGTTTGTCGGTTTTTATATCGTTTGGAATAACAGGGGTATCCAAACTCTCAACCAGTCGGAATTAAAAATATCACATTGAATTAAAAATATCTCCTTATTTAATAAAATAAAAATTAAATCGAATTCAAAATACCTGCTATGACATTTTTAATACATTTAAAAAATTGTCATAAGATATTTTTAATGAAGCGAATTAAAAATATGTGTTGAGCAAAAAAATACAAATATTAGAAGCAAATATTTTAAATTAACTAAATTAAAAATATCAGTTTTGGCATAAAAATTAAATCTAATTTTTAATTTAGCGAATTAAAAATATGTGTTGAGCAATAAAATACAAAAATAAGAAACAGATAATTTAAATTCGCTAAAATAAAAATATCAGTTTGGCATAAAAATTACATCTAATTTTAAAATATCTGCTATGATATTATTAATTGGCAGAATAAAAATTCTTGTGTGATATTTTGTATCTAATTAAAAATATGACTTTATTGTTAACACATAAAAATAATTACTGAATAAAAAATAAAACGGCGCCCCATACAACTACCTTAATGTAAATAAGTTAATCTTTGCTTGATTCCATTAGATTTATTAAAAAAAAACAATTTGCTTATAATTGTTTACTTAATTTAACCCAGTTTTCTTGCAATTTTACACTATTTCTTTCGGAAAAAAAAATTTCGTGATATTTGCCGAGAACCCCCCTCCCCCCACGTGAGATTTGGTGAGGTTTGGCTCGACCCCCTCCCCCCCTAAACCCCTCACGTAATTAATGAACGGCCCCTAAGAAAACATTTTTGACGTAATTGTCACCATTAACATTGCCCGTTATTAATTTTAATTAAACTTAACAATTATTGATACTTTAAAATATTAAAATAACTTCAAAATATGATTTTGTTAAGAAAATATTTTATTCTTTGATTTTTTTTTTATTACCATAATTGCAAAATATTAGGTATCACAAAGTATTAAAAATTCTTACACGGGAAATGTTAATGATGACAATTACGTAATGTTTATCTTCTACGGGAGGACGGAAGGAAGGAAGGAAAGCAATCTATAATTCAGGCTTAAAGCGTTAAAAATGTATAAATCTTTATAACATTACAATAATAATGGATGGTTTAAGAATTTAAGAATATAAATACTGCATTTAATGAAATTCTAAAATTTATGGTGCCAAATAAGTAATATTTTTGTGCATTTGGTCCAAATATCTGGTTTTCTCCATAAAATAATTTTAACTAACGCTGTTGCTAGTACACCGCGCGCGGTGTACTATTCTACACCGCCAATTACGTCATCATTATAATCCGTTTTTGTTCCCCGAGCGTTTAATATTTAACAACAAGCTAGATGGCTCAGATGGTAGAGCAGGCGCTTGGCATGCGAGAGGTCCCGGGTTCGATACTAAGAACTTTTTTATTTTTTTATTTCAAAAATTTGTTGTTTCTTTGTTAAACAGTGTTCGGTTGGGTTGGTTGGTTTGTTTTAGTTTTATCGTAACATAAAATCTACTAGAAGTTGTCGAACTTTTTTTATTTCATAAATTTGTTGTTCCTTTGTTAAAGTGTTTTATTTTTATCGTAACATAAATTTGCCCATTTTAGTTGGGTTTTTTGTTCAATGGGGCGGGGGGGCAATGGGGCGGGGTCGGTTGGGTTGTGTTGTTGAGTTTGGGTTGGTTTGGGTTTATGACGTAATATATAATTTGGCGGTGCAGAATAGTACACCGCACGCGGTGCACTAGCAACAGCGTTTAACGCAACAGCATTTATTTAAAAAAATCTATTATGGAATAAGAATATCTGTATTAAAGGTAGGTTAATATATTATAACAAAAATATCATCTAATTTTGTAATTTTAATGTTAGAAAAATTTATATTGACCAAAATAAATAAGTATTTTGGATTATTTAAAAGACTGTATAATATGGTATTTAAAAATGTGGTAGTTTTTCTTATCCAGCTTAAAGTGTACCTACATAAAGTTTTGTCAATACAAATAGTTAAAAAGCTTCGACTGAATTTGATCTACATCAAAAAATCATTATAACTTTAAAAAATTTTGTGATTTAATGTCATGGGAGCATTACATATTTTCACATTGCAAGTTTCTCTAAAAATTGTTTGTTTTCTTATAATCTAACTTAAAGTAAGTATGCCAAGAGGTAAGCACATGTGCTTACCTCTTAAACTAAACTTGCAAGTTTTGTCGTTAGAAGTATAAAAGCTTCAATTTAATTTGAACTATATTCAACAATTATTTAGTATACCTATATTTATTTATGACCATATTAACACACTCTTTCAAATACTCCACTTATTTATTTTGGCCAAAATAGATTTTTCTAACCTTAAAATACAAAATTAGATGATCTTTTTGTTCTTATACATTAACCTACCTTTGATACAGATATTCTTATTTCATAAAATGGAAGTTAGATTATTTAAATAAATGCTGTTTAGTTAAAATTACTTAATGGAGAAATGTATACATTTCTATAGTCTATAGACCCAATGCACCAAAATATAACTTATATTGCACCTTACACTTTGGAATTTCATTAAATGCAGTATTTATATTCCTAAATTCTTAAACCAACCATTGTTATTGTGATACAGTACAGATTTATTAACTTTTAACGCTTAAACATAAGCGCCGCTTATTAAGCGGTAACACTATAAATATTATTTCTTTCATTGACTATACTTTGACAGATACATAACCTGAAAAGCCTTAAATGCCAAATTTTCAAAAGACTGCGTTCCGTACGTGGTCACGTGGTGGGACTTTGAGGTGCCTACTTTGCCTACCGAGTAAATCCGCCATTGTTATTAACGTCATTTGAGTTTTCGACGAAATCTTTTCGTGATCTGTTTAATTAAACAGATATTAATATTATTACAGTGCAGTTTAAAGGTGCATAAATCACTTTGTAAATAAATATACATACAAAATAAAGATGCCTGAAGGAATGTGAGTACCTACTATTTATATTTCTTTGATAAATCGACTGCAATTTCAAAAACCTACTTTGCCTACCGAGTAAATCCGACATTGTTATTAACATCATTTGAGTTTTCGACGAAATCTTTTCGTGATCTGTTTAATTAAACAGATATTAATATTATTACAGTGCAGTTTAAAGGTGCATAAATCACTTTGTGATTAAATATACATACAAAATAAAGATGCCTGAAGGAATGTGAGTACCTACTATTTATATTTCTTTGATAAATCGACTGCAATTTCAAAAACCTAGTACTTACCTACCTAATAACTGATATTTCTTTTATTGCTTAATGACAACACATTAATTACTTTTTAAGGTATAAGGTATAGGAAATCCTGGGTCGAGTTTTTACTGGTTTCCCAATACACAGTGGAAACCCAAATGAAGAAATAAATTGCATACAGTCCCTGTAAATATTAATTAGATATAATAAATACACCTTTTATTAATGATTTAGGTACGTAACAATTGTACTACTTACCTATTGTTAAGTCGTTAATTAATCACAAATAATTTTTTTTTAACAAAATATATTTTCTTTCCAAAAATTAGAAAACATAAATAATAACTTATTATTATTATTTTT